TATGGCCTATGCCAGGAGCCCAGTTCCAAGTAAAAGTCAAAATGACAGGAAACTAGGCTTTGGCAGGAGTTAATCCAAACTGTACTAAAATTATTATTGTGTAGCTGCTGAGCAAGGGAGGGGACAGGATGTGGTAGGGAAACACTGGCAGGTAATAACCTGAATGATGGATTAACAAAAGCGTGGCACTAGGTCGGGCTTGCCTTTTCAGCGGCAACATTTCTAGCAAGTTGTCGCTTGCCGAAAAACGCTAACTTTTCTCTCTGGGTAGCTGGAAGGAAGACAAGAAAAGGAAAAAGTAAGGCTGGGGTGGGTAGGTGGGGGATGAAGATGGAGGAAAAAGTTGTTCAGCCCTCATTTCAACCTCTCCTGTTCACTTCTGTCAACATAGTTTGATGTCAAAAGATTTTTAAGGAACCCAACCATATGCCCAGTCATATTGCAGGGGTCTTGTTGCAATGCACCCTGCAGCCATTTTGCAAGAAGAAAGCTCCAGGAAGGTGATGGAGACAGGCAAAACACAGCCTCATGTTGAATTCAGGAGGGCAGAAGCTAGAATGCAAGAGGTATTTAAGAAAAAATAAAATAAATACAAGCAAAACGTATGGAAGTCAGTAATTTACCCACATGGGCAGGATCTCCTCTTAAGCAGAACAGACTCTTGTCACCAATCAAACAAGGATCATTAAGCTATGAAACAGAGCGGCCTTTCAGGATCTCGGGTTTCACCTTTATTTTGCATTCGTGGAAAATGAAAAGAGAACATGAGGAGAAAAGAGGAGGAGGAGGAGAAAGGGGAAGAAAATGTCCTCCACCATTATCATTTCAAATATACCCACCAATTTGCAGGTAGTTTTTCTGGTTGCTGAGGGACAGGTTAATTCATCCATTCTATTTGAGTAACTAGTCTGTCGTCTGCTTCCCTCTCAACAACTTTTTTTGGGATGGGGTCATGCAGTGGGAGGTAGGACCCATCGCTTCTTTGTTCCAATGGTTTATGCTTAAGGCCCAACCCAAGATCCCTCTTCTGCAAGAAGACTTTTCCCACGGTATGATTAAGCTCTTCTATACGCCTCCGGTCTCAGTCGACTGGTGAACTTTAAGTGAACCTTTCCCTCTAAACCTCCAGTCATGACACCATCCTTCCCCATGTTTCTGTTGACCATTCGAAGTGGTTCATTATTAACCACTTCAGCAAAGAGTCAGGGTGATGGAATGGCAAAATGGATTCCTAACCCATTGGATAAAGCTTGATTTTTCTCGGAATGGTGGCATGGGGAGAAATAGCATCTTTGCTTATCAGTACTGGGGCTAAGTGAGCTAGACAATAGTTTTTCAATGGTCATGGGGATCAACATTTCAGGGCATATCTCTGATTCCCAACCCAGCTGCATAGAGCCAAGCATAGCCCCAATGCAATGGAATGATGAAGCTATAAGGTGATGTCAGATTCCCACATGATCCTGCCTGATCTTGGAAGCTAAACAGGATCAACTCTGGTTAGTACTTGGATGGAAGACCACCAAGGAATGCCAGATGCTGCAGGCCATAATTGAGAAGAAGGAACTGGCAAAACCACCTCTTAGTACTTTTGCCTAAGAAACTCCTATTTATTTATTTATTTATTTATTTATTTATTGAAGATAAATAGCACCCACCCACATACACACAGAGAGAGATTATAGAACAAATTAATTATTTTAGACTGAAGTATCTAGAATCTTGAGAGCCAGCATTGCATAGTGATGTGAGTGTTGGACTATGACTTTGGAAACCAGGGTTCAATTCCCTACTCAGCATGAAACCCATTGGGTGACCTTGAGCAAATCACATACTCTCAGCCTCAGGGGAAGGCAATGACAAACCTCCTTTGAATAAATCTTGCCAAGAAAACCCCATGATAGGGTTGCCTTAGTGTCGTCATAAGTTGGAAATGACTTGAAGGCACACTACTATAAGGCAGTACTACTCAAAATGGTAGTCCATGGACCAGTACCAATCTACAAGCCATAAGTTAATGGTCTATGGTGAGTTCCTAGGAAATGATGGAAATAAGATAATCAAATGGCAGAAATATGGTATATTTCCCTAGCACATTGGGAAAAATATTGTGATTCCATCACAGTAAATATATTTGGACAAACTTTGGTATAGGGCATATCTATACTGCATTATTATAGCAGTCTGATACCATTATAATTGTCATGGTTCTATCAAACCTGGGATTTGCAGTTCAATGGCTTTTTTAGAATTCTCAAGGGCATTCCTCTGATGAATAGCATGAGAGCTCTGTAGTAGAGAATTCTAAGCACGCCACAAAACTACAATTCCCAGGATTCTGTGCAGGGGGCATGACAGGTATAATGGTATAATTGTATGGCATGGATATACCCATAATCTGATAGCATGCCACACAGTACTACTGCTAAAGTTAAGCAAGATGAATGACTGCAGTGGAAAACAGTCTAGGATTTATACACAAGATATGCTGAGTGTTTGGAAAGAACAGCGAGAGTAAGCATGATAAATAAATAAATAAATAAATAAATATTTTCAATTCTTCATAGATTGAGGGAAAATCCCCAAGCACCTTAGCATAAGTGTGCGGGGAAGTTTCATCACTCAAATGGAAATTCATGAAAATTTAATGAGAAAAAAAATGCATGTGTCTGGCTATGCCATTCATGCTGTGATTCCTGATGGTTGTGGATGAACAGGGAGGAAAAAGGTAGAATAAGAAAAAGAAAATAATATAGTGGTACAAAAGTAGTTGCTTTCACAAAAAACAATCACACTAACCATTATGGTAGGAAAACAACATGAAATATTTGCACAACCTATGAATTTTTCAATGAGCCTGCATGGCATAGTGATTTAAGAATTGGACTATGACTCTGGAGACCAGAGTTTGTATCCCGGCTGAGACATGTAAACCCATTGGGTGAGCTTGGACAAGCCACACTCTCTCAGCCTCAGAGAATGGCAACCTTCCTTTGAAGAAACTTGCCAAGAAAATCCCACCATGATGGGTTTTCCTTAGGGTTCCTACAGGTCAGAAAAAAGATTGAAGGCACACAACAACAACATGAATTTTTTCAGGAGGAATTTCTATCCCACTGAAATAGCTATCAGGAAAAATCAGAATTAGATTGTACTTGGTGAGCCCTGGTGCTGCTGCAGCATGACAGAGACACAAAAGCAAATAACAATTATATAAGAAACCTAATCTTGATTCATGTCAAAAGTGTTTTAGCTCTGCCATTACCTTACTCCCTTCTCCCTGGTAAATCTCAGATCTGCGGCTTCTCAAGGAAGCAACCTGTTTTCTTGTTGCTATTCTAAAAAACAGGAGTGGGCAATTGCGAAGGGAGTGGCAGCCATCACCTACGAATCTTCCCCTTGGGCTACATAGTTGTCCTCAGTGTGATCTTACATCACTTCCAGTTCTAGGATCTGGCCGAAATATGACTCATTACTTAACTAGGGTACTAGGAAGGTCTTTATGTTTTTATGGAGGTCTTCCCAGTACCCCAGTTTGGATATTTTCATATCTTCTGGACATATATTCAGCCTCCCCCCCCCCCAATTTGGGAATGGAGGTCCTCAGGGCTTTTGAGGGGACTGCAAAATGGGGTTTCAGGAGTGGTATGCTACCCACAAGCTACCCCTGCTATAAAGCATAATGTGCCACTGTGCCATCAGAGTAGGACTTAATGCAAGAGAGCGCGGAAGAAGGCAGGGTTGGATTTCTATGTTTTGAAGAAACTGAGATAATCCATGTTCCTCTGTGACCCTCATGGTGCCATTGACCATGCAGTTCAATAAAATGTCAAGAATGATAAAAACCGTTCTCATTCTCTGAGATGTGAAGCTGTTGTCGATGCCTGGTCATTCCATAGTCAGCAAAATGCTGCTGTCTGTCCAATTATTCATACAAGTAAGCTCATACACTCTCACAACAGGGAAAGCTTGGTAGCTCAACCCCTTAATTCAGGGAGTCTGAAGTGTCAGGACCAGGTTGCAAAGCTGATCCATTCTTTTTCTGCTGTTCCAGAGAATAGGACTCGGAACAATGGATGCAAGCTACAGGAAAAGAGATTCCACTTCAATATTAGGAGGAGCTTCCTGACAGTGAGAGTTATTCGATAGTGGAACACTCTCCTTGGAGAATGGTGGAGTCTCCTTCTTTGGAGGTCTTTAAACAGAGGCTGGATGGCCACCTGTCAGGGATGGTTTGATTTTGAGTTCCTGCATGACAGAATGGGGTTCGCTGGATGGCCCTTGTGGTCTCTTCCAACTCTATGATTCTATGATTCTGTTATTAAATGAGACAAAGCCATCTCCTTGGTGTCTGGATTTTCTTACCATTCTGGAACTCGGAACTAGGTCAGCAGAAGTTCAGCCAATGTCTGTGGATCATCTGTGTAACCTGAAATCCCGTTTACTATGTGAAAAACTTGGATTGTGTTTGGGGATTGGCTATGGAGGTTCCTTTGGGATATTGACCAAATCTTCTTGCATTCCAAAGCTTAGCTCACTTTAGATGCTATTAATAAAACTATGTTTGCCCATCTCTGCTAGTGGATTATTTTTCTTATATTGATGACAGTCAAGCTCTAGCCTTTG